GTTTCAAACCAATCATCAAATAAAATAACTCTTTTAACAAACAATACCAAACAGGAATCTAATTATGTCTTATTAGGGACGGCCAGAATAAGATTGCTGGCATCAAATGGAAGACAAATTGAATGCAGAGCAGTATTGGACTCTGGCTCTCAAATCAATCTCATAACAAACCGCCTGTCACAAAAATTGGGCTGCAAGCCTAGGCCAACGCTTATGAGTATGGAAGGCGTAGGAGCAAATGAATCAAAAATACGTCATCAAACAATAATTCGAGTACAATCAACGTTGAACGAATTTGTAGCAGAGATGGATGCACATATCATACCAAAAATCGTTTCAGATCAGCCAATACAGTATTTGAATATCGAATCCTGGGATATTCCAAAGGAATTAACTCTCGCTGATCCAGATTTTAACAAACCTGGCCGAATAGATTGCCTGTTAGGAGCAGAGATCTTTTTCAAGTTACTTATTGAAGGTCAAATAAAACTAGCAGGTAGTCTTCCAACACTTCAGAATTCTATTTTTGGATGGGTTTTAGCTGGCAATGTTGAAACTTTAAATTCAAGCACGGCAACTTGTGGCATATGCACTACTAAGGAACTAGAAGAATCTATATTGAAATTCTGGGAATCAGAAGAAATTCCAGATTCAACTTCGGAACTCACAGAAGACGAATTGCGTTGTGAGTCACAAATTTTTTGCAACACACTTTTCGAGGAAGTGATAGCAGATTTGTTGTAAAACTCCCACTAAAGAATCATCCATCAGTGTTACCAGATACAAAAGGAATCGCTTACGAGAGGTTCAAGACAATCGAGCGCCGTTTCATTCAAAATCCTGATCTAAAGAATCAATATGTTTCATTTATGAGGGAATATGAAGCATTGGGACACATGACAAAATTCAGCGGTAGCGAAATAATATCTCCCCAATATTTCATCCCTCACCACTGTGTGCTACGTCCAGACAGCTCAACATCAAAACTGCGAGTTGTATTTGACGCATCAGTACACAAATTATCAGAGCCATCACTAAATGACATAATGTTTAATGGTCCAAAAGTTCAAGACGAACTGTTTTCGATTTTGCTCAGATTTAGAATGCACAAATATGTTTTAAAAACTGATGTGGAAAAAATGTACCGTCAAATATGGGTTAACAAAGATGATCGAAATCTGCAACTCATAATGTGGCGAGAAAATCCCACAGAACCACTTAATTATTATCAGTTGAACACAGTTACTTATGGCACAAGAGCAGCACCATATTTAGCAACACGCTGTCTAACAAAATTGGCGGATGAATATCAAGGAAATTATTTATATGGCGCCACATCTTTAAAAAGGGATTTTTATGTTGACGACGGTCTAATAGGAGCTGATACCATCAACGAAGCGTTACTAATTCAACAACAATTAATAACAATTCTAGACAAGGCTGGAATGAAACTAAAAAAATGGTGTGCAAACAACCCAAAACTTTTACATGGAATCGCTACAGAAGATCAAGAAGTAAATCTCAATTTTGATTCCAAGGAAACCCAATTCACAAAGACGCTGGGTCTTTTATGGTTACCAAAGTCAGATTCATTTCGTATCAAGGTTAACATTCGAGACCATAGTCACACAACAAAACGATCCATGAGCTCCGATTTGGCACACATATATGACCCTTTGGGTCTTATTGGTCCAATCTTGGTCACCGGTAAAATCTTGTTGCAAGGAGCATGGCAGCTAAAACTAGATTGGGATGATGATCTTCCGTCAGAAATACGTAAACAATGGACATCGTATAGAGAAGATCTGGCCTTGTTGGACAATGCAACAGTTGTGAGGCACGTATTCAGCAGTCAAGGCTACAGCCATGTTGAGCTGCACGCTTTTTGTGACGCCTCAGAAAAGGCTTATGGTGCAGCAGTATACATTAGAACAGTACAAAAGGATAAAACGATAAAACTTAATCTACTATGCTCCAGATCTCGTGTAGCACCCATAAAATCTCAAACAATTCCACGACTAGAATTGTGTGCAGCGTTGCTAGCAGCAGAACTCATGGCAAGAGTTAAACTTGATTTAGGCTATCAAGACAAAGCAACTTACTTTTGGACAGATTCACAAATTGTGCTTTCCTGGATAAACAATCATCCAGGCAAATTACCCGTTTACGTCGCCCACCGAATTGTAAAAATCCTTCGGTTAACAATTCCAGAACAATGGCGTCACGTCCCGTCAAAACAAAATCTGGCAGATATTCTGTCAAGAGGGCTTAAACCGCGGGAATTTTCATCTTGCTACATGTGGTTATATGGTCCACTATTTTTATATCAGCCAAAGCCGCTGTGGCCAGCTCCCTTCAAAAGGGAATTAATTGTTGAAGATAACACGGTGGTGCTTGCTTTATCAACACAACAACCTACTAATGAGCATGCATGGGTCTACTCGATTTATTCAAGAAATTTATTTACACATGTCCAAAAGGTTGTTGGATATGTACTTCGTTTCACAAAAAACGCACGGAAACCAAAAGAATCAAGACCAGAGACCATGCAGCTTTCACCGATGGAGCTCGACGTAGCACTTAAGATAATAATACGTCAAATCCAGGCCTCCGATTTTTCTGATCTAAGGAAAATGCTAGTTAAGGACGAATTTGTGCCAAAAACTCATAACCTCAGTTCACTAACTCCGTTCGTAGATGAAGAAGGGGTAATACGTGTTGGCGGACGGCTAAGCTCTTCAACACTGCAATTTGATGCCATTCATCAAATGATTTTACCAAGCAACGATCCACTAGTAAAGTTGTTGGTAGAAAAAATACATAAAGACAATTATCATTGTGGCGCCCAAGCATTGCTGGCACAAGTGAGGCAGCGTTTTTGGCCCCTCAAAGGAAAAAGCTTGATGAGAGCTGTAATACAACAATGTTTAAGATGCAGAAGAGCAAGGCCAATTGTGTACCATCAAATCATGGGACATTTGCCTGGACACCGTGTGCAACCAGCTCGACCATTTCTCAGCACTGGAGTTGATTATTGTGGCCCAATATGGGTTCATTACAAAACAAGAGGCAAGCGTCCACAAAAGGCGTATATCGCTGTCTTTTGCTGTTTTGCAACCAAGGCCGTACACTTAGAACTTGTGACTGATCTGACCACAGATGCATTCATTGGAGCATTAAAACGCTTCATAGCAAGACGAGGACGCTGTAAAACGTTATACTGCGACAATGCGACCAATTTCGTTGGAGCGAAAAACAAGTTGCAGGAACTTACTGACGTCATCTACGCTGATCGAGCGAAGGAATCAATTGCAGGAATGTGCAGTACGAAAGGCATAGAATTTCACTTCATTCCACCAAGGTCACCACACTTCGGCGGGCTATGGGAGGCAGCAGTAAAATCTGCCAAATATTTGCTGGTCAAAAATGTTTCAACAGCATCACTTACATATGAAGAGCTTGAAACTGTCGTTATTGAAGTTGAAGCAGTGTTGAACTCGCGACCCCTTATTCCTAGCTCATCAGATGCAAACGATTTGAACGCAATAACTCCAGGTCATTTTTTAATAGGTGAAGAAATCACTTCAAGCGTTGATGTGCATGCACGTGACTCTAAAGAAAAATTACTTAAACGCTGGCAACTGGTATCAGAGCTAAAACACAGTTTTTGGCAGCGCTGGACTAAGGAGTATCTAAGCGAATTGCAACAGCGCCACAAGTGGAAGGGTCCCATCACCAACATACAGACCAATACGATGGTAATCCTTAAAGAAGACAATGTCCCAGTTCTGCAATGGCCTTTAGGACGCATCATCAAAGTTTACAAAGGCGAAGATGGTTTAGTGAGAGTTTGTGACATTCAAACAAAAAAGGGAGTATTTAAAAGACCGGTGCATAGATTAGCTCCATTATTTCCTGAAGACGATAAATTAGAAGATCCAACCTTTGGAAAAATGACTGAAAGAAAAATCGAATCAGAACAGACTCAAGAAACTCCAACGTCACCTCCCGTGTCGCTTATCGTAAAAATTCCATTAAATCGCATCAGAAAGCCTGAATCATTAGTCAATGGGTTAACTCCGACAAAACGATCATGTCTGAATTCCGGGTTGCTGCTCACCATTATTACTCTACTCATTTTGCCACTTGCACTATGTAGTCCCGTCAATATAACAACCTTCAACAACAAACCTGGCATTTATTTTGAGCAGCTTAAACCAGTCAAAATCATGTCTGCTGATTGGAAAATGATTGTATATTTTGACCTTTCCCCATACCAACAACAAATGAGCATTTTAGCTGATGGAACAAAAAGGTTGAACAATTTATGCGACAAGGCATTGGATAACACTGCTTGCAAGGTATTACTCAACTATTTTGACCGTATAACGGAGGAACTGCAAATGGAACTTAATCTTCTTTCTGTTAGAAAAAGAATAACAAGAGGAGCTATAGACATTGTCGGAAATTTTGCAAATTCATTGTTTGGTGTCCTCGACTCAAACTACGCGGCACAAATGTCAAGCACAATAAATGGTCTTAAAAGGAACGACAATCACCTGGAACAACTCGTTAAAAACCAAACGTCACTTGTTGATTCAACTATCAATATCTTTAAGAAGAACCAATTAAACATGCATGACAAATTTGAAGAAATTGAAAAGCGCATCAATAACTTGTTGTATACAGATGAGTCAATAAACGACATACACGTAACACAAAACATGCTTATGTTGTCAATGCAAATGCTCATGATGGTATCCAACCTGCAAAGAGTTCACTCATCAATTATGGACGTACTAATCGACAGTCATCACGATAAAATAAATCCTCTTCTGCTGACTCCACAACAGCTTAGTGAGCAAATAATGATGATTAGGGCACATCTTCCATCACACCTACAGTTACCTATCCACCACAATAACTTACTCGAAGTATATAGGCTCATGAAGATCAACGGAATCCTGGCAAAGGGCCATGTCATTTTTTGCATCGACTTACCTCTCACGGATCCAAGAGAATTTCAACTGTTATATCTTGTTCCAATTGTGGCAGCTATAAATAACACACTTTTATCAGTGAAACTTTCAACAGAATTTCTAGCCATCAGTCCGCATCATGATGAATTTCGACCAATGACACAGCATCAAGTGGACGCATGCATATCGATAAGTGACGAAGAGTTATTATGTCCAAACATACAAGCAACATTTCATGAATCGGCAAACGTCAATAATTGTGAAATTGACTTATTTAACAATCAAGCTAAACCAAGATGCGATATGTATCAGCTCAAGGACACAACTGTATGGTATCAACTAAATCATCCGAATCAATGGATTTACGCAACCATAAATAACATCAAAATGAATGCAGTATGCAACAAGAAAGCATTTCAATTAACTTTAGTGGGCAGTGGTTTGATTAAATTAGAACCTGAATGCATCATCAAAAATGAACACATTACGATTCAAGGTCATCAAAAAATGGTTACTTCAATGCAGGCATCGATCACCAGATTGAACCTATCTGTAGGATGGACAAAACAATATGCGAGCAATAACATCAGCGTCAAACCATTGTCACCCACAATCCATGAGCTTGAACTTATTCAACGAAAATTAGGCCACATCCAGAGTTCCAGTTTTCCAACTGATGCTATTAGTCCAGGGACACATAGTCTAATAACCAGCTACGTTGCATTAGCAATGTTTCTATGTGTCGCTAGTGCACTATTATATATA